TCATTCTGGGCAGTTGACCGTCGTTGTCTTGTGGTATGTTTGATGTCGGCTTTTTCGACATATTGCCTCCAGTGTGTATCAGTACCAATATGAAAGAGCTTGACTTCTGGTAGCTCCTAGCTATCAACGATCTTGTCCACAATTTCCTCTGTGCTAGGAGGGGGTTCTTAAGGATCTCGTATCCTATTTGGCGCCAACGCATCGGCGACTTTACCAGCTTGTTCTGAAGAATCAAACCCTGATCCACTGGCTGTCCGTGAGATCTCTGGAATCACGGCTATTTGAAGTCATCAGGTCTCTCCTCCGAAACGTCACCGAGTCGCGGTCGATGTCGTAATGGTAGTTCTCCTGAGTCGTTCCGGTGTGGGATATTATTGAAGTACGGCCGTCCCCGGCAGGCGTGATCTTTTTTGTATAATGTAAGGACACAGGGCACCTAGCTCACAGTAATAGCATATGAGAGTGCGAGTCGGAGGCTAAATGGTTGCTATCAGTCTACTACGAAGGATACAAAAAAGATGAAGGGGGAACCCCGTGAGTCAATTCCCTTAAGTACCCGAAACCATCCGACTCGGTTAGCCCACCCCAATGATCACACGTGACCAGGGGGAACCTCGTGAGTCATTTTTCTCAAGTACCCGAAACCCATCCGACTCGGTTAGCCCGCCCAAATGATCGCACGTGACCCACAGCTATTCAGAGTCTGCTCCTTAGAGTCAGAGACGAGAAGGCATCCTTACACATAGCAACCTCTTACGACTTGACTCAGATGATGCTTTACAAGGCCAGCACCATGAACCACCCCTGCCAATCATTATAGAAGATGAACTTGAATGGGAAGTTGAAGAAATCCTAGATTCTAAACTCCTACGGAAGAAGCTGTTCTATATGGCAGCATGGAAGAACCACCCACTAGACAACACTTGGTATCCTGCTACAAACTTTAACAATGCACCTGAACTCACACAAGCTTTCCACCGAAAATACCTGCAGAAGCCACGATGATCTTACTCTTGATCAGGAGATCAATCTTACTAAGGGGGGGGGAAGTGTTACGATTACAGCTCACAGCTTGTCACAGCTTGTTACAGTTGTTACGGTTGTTATGGTTGTTACGGTTGTTACAGTTGTTACAGTTGTTACGGTTGTTACGGTTGTTACGGTTGTTACAGTTATTACGGTTATTACGGTTGTTATGGGGATTACAGGTGTAGCCTTAGCCACCAAGGTTACAACAGCTAAGCAGACAACTGTATGTTACGAGGAATAGCCTCACCTTCCTTCCTTCTTCTTCTTCTTCTCTCTTTAGATTCAATCTAGATTACTTTTCCTGGACTGGCATGATGACCTCTATGACCATCGTGACAACTCGAGCTGCAAGGCGCACTTGATATCGTAACACTACTAACCCCTCCTAGGAGCCTAACCATACAATATGGTGGCCCTACAAAAGGTGGGGGTGGTCCTCACCAACCTGAGAGACTGGGATACTCTTAGAACAGCCAATTCAAAATCCTGTTTCATCGAAATTACAAATATCTTCATGATGGATTTTGTATTTTGTAAGACAGTCGTGAAGTAGAGAAAACCATGCGAGGGTATCATCTTTGCTTGTTGCTGCTCTTCTTTCTGCAGATAGTGAAGCAGTTTTCACAAGATGAAGGAGGTGTGAATTTCAGTGTACAAATCGAGTTGTCCATTGTGGTCCAAGTTGTATATGACTATCTTCTTGCTTGAGCATATACTGTGAGCATATACTGTGCAGCATGTTGTCATACTGACATTCGTTGCACTCAGTTTGCTATCAAACTCAAGAGCAAACTTGGAAATCTCCTCCTCAAACCTACAAGTCACTATACATATTTTGGCTTATCACACCAACAACAAGAGAAATACTACTCAACGATTGCTACAACCATCTATGATTCATTACACGTCATCGCTCCTTAGTTACTGGGCCAATATTACCACATAGCATATCTCTACAACCCTCTATGATTCATTACATGACATCACTCATACTACCACATGACATATCTCTACCAACTAGAGGCCTAGGAGCATGAACGATAGCTCTAAAAGCTCCTGCGAACCTCTATGATTCATTACACATCATCGCTCTTTAGTTACCCACAAGATTGGTTAAGTTATGACATAATTTGTCTATGACATAATTTGTCTATGACATAATTTGTCTATGACATAATTTGTCTATAGGGGTACTCTGACCTTGGACCTCCTTTTACTTCCTATAGGCTATGAACCTAAGAGATGGTTCTATGGGATTCTCTTACGTCGACTACAGTTACCAAGCCTGGTTAGTCATGGAAAGTCTTGGAAAATGAGAGAACTACACTCCTTTAGCATAAATAGGATTGCCCTTTCCTTAAGAAAGGGCAAGCAGATAATACAGTAAATCGACTATCACATACTTCCATGTCTTTTCCAAGCTTCCAAGCATTGATCTTGTTACTCCGTTGTTTCTGAAAAGTCAGTGAGGTGTTAACCTCTGACTTACCCCTGAGTTCCCAGACTCAACATTTGTTGCAACTTGTCTGAACCACTTCACTACATCACACACCTGATTGCTGCGTTGTGGAATAGTCTAAGCTACAACCCTTTGGCTCTGTTTCCTAAGACAGTGTGTTGTCTTAGTAAATTCATCCCTTCCTTTGGTGGCTAGATTCTCACATCTGGTGCACCCACCATTACACAGAGGAGCACATAGCGAGTTACACTATAGTGGGGGACGGTAAGGGTGTAGGGTTCAGGGTCGATGCAGACCTGTTGCGGTGGAAGGTTCAGGGCTAGGTGGGATAACCAAGTCGGGCCCGTTTTGGATACTTAAGGAAACAGACTCAACGGGGTTCCCCCTTCATCTTTTTTGTATCCTTCGTAGTAGACCTATAGGATAGCATCTGTTTAGCCTCTGACTCGCACTCTCATATGCTATTACTGTGAGCTGGGTGCCCTGTGTCCTTACAGTTGGTCAACCTGCGCTGATCTTTTTGGGCAGTCGCCAGCATGGCTCTCTACAGTTTTCAACGACGTAATGAGCCACTTAGTACACGAGTTTGAGGCTGTACTTGAGTGGCACCCATACCTTACATACAAGAAGCTGTTACAATTTGAAGAAGCGATTGAAGACAGTGGTGGGTGTGGTCAAATATGGGGGTTTGTTGACGGTGTAATGCTGACTTCTAAACGATAGAAGACACAGAGGTTTCTTGCATAAGGTTGACTTGACAGAGAAGGCAGGGGATTAGACACAAAGGCTTTCCAAGTAACACGTTACAGTATTGTAAAGAATACTATATTGAGTTGAGCACAAAGCTCCTATCTAAGGAAATACTATCTACTTATATAGTGGCGTTGTGCCTTATGGGTAATTTGGATAGTTGGCGGATGTTACGACGGAACAAGAAGGCTGGCCAACTACAGGACAGGAAGGAGGGAGGTCGCATGAGACCGGCCCTGGTACCTGGAGGGGCAGCGGGGAATAGTAGTTCCGAAAGTCGCAGGAGGATGAGAAGAGTCCTAAGAGTCCAGGACTCCGAGGACTCGAGTGAGTTCCCAGGAGTCCACTAGGCACGTGATGGACTCGCAGGATGATGAGAAGAGTCCTAAGAGTCCAGGACTCCGAGGACTCGAGTGAGTTCCCAAGAGTCCACTAGGCACGACGCCACTATATAAGTAGATAGTATTTCCTTAGATAGGAGCTTCGTGCTCAACTCAATACAGTATTTGTTATATACTAGTAACGTGTTACTTGAAGCCTTTGTGTCTGATCCCCTGCCTCCTCTGATAAGTAAACCTTTACGCAAGAGAACCTCTGTGTCTTCTATCGTTTAGAAGTCAGCGTTACAGCGGATAGCTAGATATTCAGGATAGTTCATGGCTCAACTTTCCAATATCCACTAGTTTCTGCAACTATCCATTAGCCCCGTCACATGGCAGCCTACCCCGCTAGCCCCCTGTGACTCACACGTCACGTTACTAGGTCCTGTAACCATGACGTCACGTTACCGTAGCCGTAACACTATACTACTGTATTCGCCTTACAATTACATGACGTCTATCCAAGGTGATTACTTTATATTCTAACTACAATAGGAATCTGGCTGGCTGTTAGCCTTGAACAGATAACTGTCTGACGCTGACAGTCTTACTTCCTATTTAGGAAATAGTGGGGTTCACGGTGAGCAGGGTTTGTACAGGGTTTATACAGGGTTCCTGGTCAAATTGTCTACACTAACTACATACAGGACGTCGAATGAGGTGTCTAACACCTGCTGAATCGCTCTAATACCCACCGCAACTAGCGCTTAAACTGCGCTTTTGTCATCGCTGACCTCTCTCCTCATACTGACTCCGGCCATCGGCGCCCATGACCCACACTTCCCCAACGTCACAAAGCTGCTGTCAACCCTAACCCTAACCCTAAACAAGAGAACGCCACTGGCGACTAGCCAGAAACTTTGGGAACCGTCCACGCCACAGTAAAACTTTTTGGAATAGCCCTCAATAAGCCCACAGGAAGCTCGATCCCATTCAAGATGTCCCCAGAACGGGGACATAAGAATGTTCGTCTCGACTTCGTAGTATTCAAAAGCCCACGTTTTCTGGTCAAATGCCCACAAAAGCCAACTAGGAACAGCCGTCATTGTCATGTCAAAAGCCACTGGTGTCACATCCGAAGAAGCTTGATCTCAAAGCCACAGCTCCCATAAGGGAGTATAAGTCTAGAGCGGACAACCCACAGAGCCAACGAACCACAAGCCAACGTGTCAGAAGTATCTCAAAAGGAGCCCTCAGTCCTGTGCGGCAATTATGTGCATTATCCCAAGCAAACCGACATTTAAAAGGTCTGCTTCTTGCCAGCGAAGTCGCCGAAGCCGCCACGGTTGGTGCTGCCACCACGACCGCCGCCACGTCCACCGCGTCCACCACGGTCGCCGAAGCCACCGCGTCCACCGCCACGTCCACCACCGCGTCCGCCACGGTCACCGAAGCCACCGCGTCCACCACGGCCACCGCCGCGTCCACCACCACGGCCACCACCGGCATCACGTTCTGGGCGGGGGGTAGCGTAATCGAGGCGAACTGGGCGTCCACCGACATCAGCACCCATCATGTTCTCCATGGCGTTCTTGGCGTCCTCAACCGAAGAGAAGGTGATGTATCCGAAGCCCTTCGGGTTGCCAGAGTCCCTGATAAAATATTAGTGGGGAGTACTTTTTTTGTGCAGGTGATATAACTTACATATCAGTTGGGAGTCTGACGTTCACGACAGTGCCGTGGGCACCGAAAGCCTCGCCGAGCATGTCCTCGTTGGCCTCGAAGGAGATGTTGCCGACGAAAAGGGTGTCGGACTCTGGGTTCTTGGCATCACCGTAGGTCTGGGCGCGAGCGTTGGCGCGGTCCTTTGGTGCTGCGTTGTCACGGGGAGTGGAGAAGTCAACGTTGGCCTCGCGACCATCGATGAGAGCACCCTTCTTGGCCTTGAGGGCAGCGGCGGCATCGGCGGAGTTGGCAAACTCAACGTAACCGAAACCCTTGGAGCGGCCAGACTCGCGGTCAGAGATGACGCGAGCGCCAGTGATCTCACCGAACTCCTCGAACTCGCGGTACAACCACTCGTCGTCAATGTTCCAGCTCAGGTTACCAACGAACAGGTTCTTGGATCCGGTATCCTCGACCTCAGTCTTGGACTTCTTGGCGGCGGTCTCCTCCTCATCGTCAGCCTTGCGCTTCTTGGATGGGGCGGCCTCCTCGGTGCTCTCCTCCTCCTCAGAGTCGTCAGAGTCTTCCTCGTCGCTATCGGAAGAATCGGAACCAGACTACATTGATCAGCTTGGGTCTACTATAAATTAGACTGAGAAGACTTACAGTTGCCTTTGCGACCTTGGCATCCTTAGCAGGGGCGGCCTCCTCCTCGCTGTCGGACGAATCGTCGCTGTCGCTCTCCTCGGTGGCGGCGGCGGGCTTGGAATCATCAGAATCAGAATCAGATGAACCATCCTCGCTTTCGCTGGATGAGTCAGAGGAATCAGAGGTAGCTACCTCTTTCTTGGCAGCGCCGTTGGTCTTCTCGACCTCGACCTCAGCCTCGGACTCGGACTCGGAGCTGGCGGCGGACTCTGCGGACTCGGAGTCGGAGTCGGAAGACTCAGATGGTGGTGCGGCCTTCTTGGACTTCTTGGAAGGGGCAGCCTTTGCGACAACCTCCTTAGCAGACTTCTTGCTGACAACTGGTGCCTGTGATGGTTTAGTGATTGATCCAGATTGAACAATTTGAGAGTTGTATTTACCTGAGCCTTGACCTTGCTGGTCTTGGTATCCTTTGATTTTCCCATTTTGTTTGATTTGTGTAGGATGAAGGGTGATTAGGGGAGAAGAGAGAATTTGTGAAGGATGGAAAGGGTGGTTGAGAGGAAAGGTGGTAGCGGTCTGGTATTTGTACTCGGATAGAAAAAAGATGGCGGGCGGGTTCACGGGTCTATTAGAAAAATCTATTAGCGCCTCGATAACAGAAATTTATGCGGGCAGGTTTTCTGCCGCAGGGCTCTTGGCGGTCAGTGGATACGCTAGTCTGTATTGGGCCAAGCGCATTATCGACGTGACCGACCTCACAACTCGGAAGTGGTGAGAGCTTCAATTATCTATCTAAACAGCTCGACCAACGGTGAAGCCCTGGGAACAATTGCCGCAGTCGACATCTCGGATTCGCAATCGCCTCGCCTCTACCAACCGCCTTGCTTTGCGCACCCTGATCCACCTCCAATGGCGCCCACTCCAGAGTCAGTCGCGTTCCTGGCCAAGAAGCCAACGGTCCCAGCGAGCTTCGACGGTGTCGACTATGATGACACGCAGCGATTGAAGCAAGCACAGGACGCAATTCTGCGCGAGCAGTGGGTTAGGAGTATGATGGCACGTCTCGTCAGAGAGGAGATGGGCAAGTGCTACTACCGCGAGGGAGTCAACCACCTCGAGAAGTGCGGAGCGTTAAGAGGTGAGGATGCCCGGAACCCCATCCCTTTGACTCTGTTTTTTTGTTGTGGCTCTAAATATATGTTCGTTTGGGATACGGAAACTAATTGGACATTGCAGAGAGATATTTCGAGCTGCTCAAAGAGTCCAAGGTCCGCGGTTACTTGTTCCAGCAGCAAAACTACATCCCCGAGAAATAAATGGAGACGGGGACGTATCGAGTACGGGCATGCGGGGAGTTATGGCCTATCAATGAGGCAAAGTCAATGGCAAAGGAGGGGAATGATACAGTGAAGGGTGGGTGGTTGTGTGCGTGCGGGCATCTTGGGGCCGTAAACTGATGTGAGAATCTCTCCAGTTGTATATAGTACGAAATGTACAAAATGAAATCAATTCTCGAATTAACGCACTGCAAAATGTATGAATGAGTGACCTGTTGCGAATCCAATCGTAAGATGATCGTTATGGACTGGTAGTCCTCGGCTTTTGATATTGCGCCTTTGGTTTACTTTGGTAACCGCAATAAACTTTTATCCCAATAATTCTACAGGTCTCGTCCATCGCATGGGAATTCCACCAGCCAAACGACATCACCATGATTTGTAGCCGCTGCCTCCACAGGGCGTCAGCTCTACCACAGCGTATACAGCACACGTTTCTCCGTTCCCTTACGAATTCTGCGCCCAGCGCCTTACCAGCGGCCCCAGCAACCTCTACGGGACCAACAATCTCGACACCTCTACCTCCTAAGCCAAAGGCAAAAGCCCCCCTACCGGTATCCGCCGCGCCGGCCGGGATGATATTGAAGGGGTTAAACTATTTAAAGGGCAGAGATGATCTTACGGCACTCGCTGAGGAGGAGTACCCAGAGTGGCTGTGGAAGTGCTTAGACATGGACAAGACGGGCAACGCCAGAGACGAGGTTGAGGGAGATGAGTTCTGTATGTCTATGCCACAGTGGACTCCCATACGATGTTATTGAGCTAACTCCCAATCTTTACAGCTAAATCCAAAAAGACCCGTCGTTTAGTGGCGAAGAGGCAACGGAAGCTCGAAGCCCGCCTGATCGCGTCTGGCGACACCGAATCTCTCATTCCAAAGGTCCCGTTGCAGCAGCAGACAATTGATCTGCCGTCCAACGAGCAGGGTAGCGTCGAGGGTGCTTTGGATGCTGTAGCGAAGAGAGACGAGCTGACGAAGGCGATGAGGGGAGAGAGGAGGGCGAAGATCAAGGAGACGAACTTCTTGAAGGGCATGAACTAGTCAATGGACTTGGCTGTAACAACATCCGGGGGATTTTTGTGTTGTATATTTCGAGGGTTACACAGGATACATCAGAATTAAGAAAGCGCATATCACTGCAGGTACATCTGGACTATTATATGTTCGGGATTGAATTTGTTACTGTGTTTCTGTGCCCCTTGCTACATATAAAATGCTGTAGTCACCAGGATACTCTCGGTTTTTAACCAACTAGTCCATTACGCCCATTGCCAAATATCAGAATCCAGCCTCCCAAGGTATTGATAACGCCGGCTTCCACTATACATGCCCTTTACGAGCCGAACCTAATCCTCGTCCCCTTCGCCAATTGCAGATTTCTTGAGCTGTAATTCAGCCTTGACCTTCTCGATATTCCCCTTAATTCTCGTTTTCAGGATCGGATTGACCTGCATCTCCCATGATGCCTGCAGGCTTGCCAGTTGCTTCTCCATTTCGTCAATATCTTCTTTGGCACCTTGGAGCTGGGCCAATCTGGCACGCTCGTCATCGTCGATCTCGTCGCCAGAGCCACCGTCTGCCTCGTCGTCTTCAACGCTAGCATCAGACGACTCTTCACCGCTGTCTCCATTCACATTGCCGCTTGCATCCGGCGTGCCACTTGTAATCGTTGCAATCGGTGTCTCAGCGATGGCGTTGGATGCGGGTGTTCCGATATCAAAGTCGGCCTCGAAAGCAGCTTCCAAATCAGCCTCAAGGTCAGCATCAAGGTCATGTTCCTCTCCCTCTTCTTGTTTATGCATGCTATTGCCATTGATATGACCGTAATACGCAGTGCCATCATCAATATCTCCATCTGCATCCTCGTCTTCGGAATATCCTTCCTCCTCCTCGTAGGCGAGTGGGCTTCTAAATGAACGGCTCCCTTGTCGGCTCCGAACTTCGGGTTCAATGAGCTCATGCCTGATACTCTCAGCCTTCAGATCAGCCTCTAAGAGCTTTTCAACGGCGTCTTCCACGGCTTCAATGGCTGTCCTGCTGATGCGCTTCCTGAACCGGCGCTTGCGGGCAAAGTGCATCGGAGGCGTTAATCCATGGGGATATTGGAAAGTGTGAGGATCAACAATCTTTGGTAGTTCTATCGTTGCCGCCTCCGCCTCCGTCTTTATTGGCGCAAAGACCAAAAGCATTTGGCAGATGTCTGCTGATTTCCACCACCCTCTCTTGTCCCAACTTTTCATGCCCTCAATAACACAAGGTAGGTCGACTAGGGTCGCTGCGTAGTGATGCTTGCGTACCGTTACGATCGCGCGACGCCCTTCTGTGTGTATGAATTTCATCTGGATGTCTGCCCCGTTTTGGTGTCGTGGTACGCCAATAGTCTTCTCCTGGATCGCTTCTCGAACATAGTCGCAGTCTGGTCCAGGTATCATGCGTAGTATGAATTCTTCCACCACAAGGGGGTCTTCTTCTCTGTCGCTGGCCTCGGAGTCATAGCCTTCTCCAAGCGGTCTCTTTGGCGGCTTGCCTTTGAATTTTGCTTTTAAAACGGTTGGAGCCTTTGGCCCTCCCAGGCTCAGCTTCAGCTTCTTCGGCGCTCCCTCTGCTACAGAGCGTGATTTGTGTTCATCTCCATCGTCGGATTCGTCTTTTATACGTTTGCCATTCTTGTTCGCTGCAGCTTTGGCAGAAGGTTTGGATGCTCGCCCAGCCTTGGTTTTAGGTAGTGGCTTGACTACGATCTCGTTGGGGGTCGTTGGTTTTGATCCATTGCTCATATTAAGCCTGATCTTTGGGGCGGCACTGCCAGGAGTCGGAGTGCCCGCTGTCGAAGAGCTCCTTCCTGTGAGGTTGAATGCTGGGGTGGAACCGCCACCGATCTTGAGAGTAATCGTGGGCTTCGACATCGTAGTTGATGAAGTCGCAGTATCTTTAATGGTGCATTTGTTTGGTTCGGAATGTCCGCGAAGGTGTCTTCAGGGAGATGTAGCGTTCGTCATAAGAGCGATGTGAATGTGAAGTGGATGGTGTGGCGGACTCTGTGGAACAACCAAGGTCGCGTCGGGGGCTTCGGGAAAATAATAATCCACACACAGCCCAATATTTGGCATGAAACCAAGTCGACAGCTTTGCCCCTCACGACCTGTATATGTTTCTTGCAAACAATGCAAAGTGAAGATTGTAGGGTTGATTGAGAATGGCTACGCCTTCACCCCACAAGCCTCGACGCAAGGGGAAGAAAGCTGGCGGCGAGGTCTCCTTTGCGAGCAATGTCATCAAACACAGCGCAGGCCGAGACAAAGACACCACTGGAAACCTCTCGGCCTCGTCTACCAGAATAAAACCAGCATATCCTCTTGCAGCTTTTATGTGGTCAGCCCCTGGAGGTATTTCGCAATGGACCATACTCCCAATTGTCCTCATGGTCGTAGGAATGATCCGTTGGGCGGCCGGGCTATGGGGTTACTCAGGTATGGCTCCAGCTGTAATTACTGGGACGAATTCATGCTGATTTCCCTCCGTTTGGCAGGTTACCAGAATCCTCCCATGCATGGGGACTATGAGGCGCAGCGGCATTGGATGGAAATCACAACTCAGCTACCTATCTCTCAATGGTACTTCCATGACCTAGAGTGGTGGGGGTTGGATTACCCGCCCTTGACAGCTTATCACAGTTGGGTCTTCGGGAAAATCGGGTCTTATATAGATCCCAAGTGGTTCCTCCTGCATACCTCAAGAGGGTTGGAAGATGAAACGCTCAAGGTTTTCATGCGGGCCTCTGTCATCATCTCCGAATACTTGGTCTATATCCCTGCTGCCGTTATATTCGTCAGGCGATACAGCCGCCTCCAGGGCGTTCAAACTTGGGATTCTTCTGTTGCGCTGGTTGCGATTCTCCTCCAACCAGGAACCATACTCATTGACCATGTCCATTTCCAGTATAACACTGTGATGCTCGGGTTGGTTCTAGCTTGCGCGTCGAGCATTGTGGCAGGCCGCTACATGTGGAGCTGCATATTCTTTGTTTTTGCTCTGGGGTTCAAACAAATGGCTCTCTACTACGCGCCGGCCATCTTTGCGTACCTACTAGGTGTATGCATTTTCCCAAACATCAATGTCCCTAGGTTCCTCGGCATCGCATTGGTCACAATTACTGCCTTTGCGCTTTTGCTGTTACCCATCATTGCGGGTGCAATCTATGATCAACATCGTGGCATAGATGCCATCCCCGAATTGAACGGCTATGCCCCTATCTTCCCTATTTTCGCTTCTTACACGGCCTACTTGGACCCACATGCGTGGTACTTTCCTCCGGTGCATCAAGTTGCGCAGCTGGTTCACCGCGTCTTTCCCTTTGCCCGTGGCTTATTCGAGGACAAAGTTGCGAACTTCTGGTGCGCTCTCAATATTGCATACAAGCTTAAATATCTTCCAATCGTCCAGTTGCAACGCCTTTCGCTTTTAGCGACCCTGGGGTCTATCTTCCCACCATGCGTGGCTATATTTCTGAACCCTAGAAAAGAACTGCTGCCGCTGGCGTTGGCTACGACAGCCTGGGCCTTTTTCCTCTTCAGCTTCCAAGTGCACGAAAAGTCGGTATTATTGCCTCTAATGCCGATGACGCTGCTTCTCGCATCGAAAAATGGCATGCACCCGTATACACGGTCGTGGGTCGGTTTTGCAAACATTCTCGGCGCGTGGACCATGTTCCCTCTCCTTCAACGTGTTGAACTGAGAGTCCCATATGCAGTGTTGACATTGCTTTGGGCATACCTTCTTGATATACCACCAGTGAGCTGGGGAGTCTACCGGAAACCCGCATGGGGCAAGGGGCCACTAGACCAGAGCACAGTCTTCATACATACGATCTTTTATCTTGTTATGATCCTATGGCATGGCCTAGAAGCGTTTGTGGACGCGCCGAAGGGTCTACCAGATCTGTGGGTGGTGCTTAACGTGGTAGTTGGAGCAGCAGGGTTTTCCACGTGCTATTTGTGGTGTTTGGGCACTTTGGTCCGTAACAGCCGTCTCATGGAAACCCCAAGTAGCCAAAAAGTAACCCCGAAAAAAAAGACGAAGTAATGGAGTCCAAAAAGGACCATAGAGGAAGAGGCCGTGATACCCACAGGTCATTTTAGGGCCTGCTTAATAGCTCAGTCATGTAAATTATATAACAGAACAACATAAAGTCCAACTTGGAATATTGTACGTTGTTTTCTTATCACTTCCGTTCGAAGCACTGAACAGGCAGGTGGTGTCCCACGGCAAGGTTGAAATGTACAGTGGAGTCACTTTCGGAGCCGGAACCTCCCCATGCTCCAGCCAGACGGGAATGAGAGTTGATAAGAAAGGCAACTTACACGGCAGGTTCCCAGTATTTTTCATCACATCCAAGGCACAGACATAGTTCACATTATGTCTACTCTGAAGATCAATCCCTCTGACATATCCTATAGATAGAGTACTTCGCTATCCGGGAGTGTATCCTCCATATCATCCACCGTTACGGATACATCGTGCCTATTACCTACCCCCATGGCTTCTTTAAACCAACCAACGCACACTCTCAACCAGACGTTTCCCCTTTTTTCCGTCTTCCGATCGAGATTCGCCTTAGCATCTGGCACCTCATTCTTACCCCCAGAGTAACTGAGCTGCAGCTCTCGTCACTTACTTCCAACAACCTGTACGCAATCTCAGACTTGTTATACAAGACACCTCTCACGCGCCCGCGGCTACACCCCCTTTTTCATATTAACCGCGAGACGCGCTCTGAAGCCTTCGCCATTTATCGCCCTCTGTCTGCTCAACCCAACGGCGTGTTTATGTCCTCGCATGAGCACCCCTTCGATTTGACTTTGCATTCACTCGATACCTATGTATTCCTTTTGCCACTGTATTATCTCTAGCAACAGCAACCAGATCCAGCCGTGATGTTTTCCGCAAATGCTGCGCAGGCTATTGGACTGACACGAGAATTCGTTTTGGACGACTTGCTACGGCAAACGACGGACTTGACGTTTCTAAGATCGAGTCTATGGGCATTATGTGGAGCGACATGCATATTAAAGATCCATCGACGCTTATAAAAGCATTGCAACCGTTTAAAAGTTTGAGCCATCTATTTATTTGTTTTGTGGAACAGACTGTCGAGGGCGAGTTGTTCAAGAAGGGGAACATAATCGGTGGATTGATGATGTCGCTGGTTCGCAGAGAAGGATCACAGATCCGGAGTAGATTTTTGTTTAGAATCTTGGACGAATATGAAGAGCTCGCCAAACGGATGAACGTGGCCTTGGATGAGGCTGAAATATCAACGGAGTTAGGGATTAGAATGGTGAGGCTTGAGAAATGAATCCATTATTATTCAGATGTGAATATTATAAAGAGCATATCGATGCACAGTTGCTTTGAGCTACTTTCATGCGGACAGTCGCCTAGAGCAATCTGTCAATCTATGTGAATTTGTAAAGACCATATCGATGCACAGTTAGTTTGGGCTAATTTCATGTGGACCGTCGCCTAGAGCTGTTACGATATTAGCTGAAGCTACTCGAGCTGGTGGTGTTACAATTGAAGCTCACAGCCGCTAGCAACTATGGGAACCGCTAAGCGCACAACTGTATATAACGAGGAATAGCCTCACCACCTTCCTTTTCTTCTCCTTCCCTCTTTAGATTCAATCTAGCTTATTATTCTCCGGACTGGCTTCTTGACCTCTGTGACCATCGTAACAAGAGCAACCCGTCAATCTAAGAGAAGTTTGTGATGCAAAGTTGCTTTAGGCTAATTTTATCCAGACAGTACGACAGTAATTCAGTTGCTAAATTGCTCTACTAGAGCAATTTAGCAACTGAATTACTGTCGTACTTTAGGGCAGGTTTGGAATTTGGGTGTATGTGGTGCTCTAGTAGAGCAATTTAGCAACTGAATTACTGTCGTACTTTTAGTGTGTGACAGGAACTAGGGCCCCTACCCCTCTATTCCCAAATCAGCGCTAGGCTCTTAAGAAATTGCCATATATAGCAATATCTAGTCGAAGGCGCCTATACCCTGCCATCACTACTATGCCCGTTAACCCTAACGATTAGTAGGGCTAACGAATGGCAGATTCACTACCTACTGCCCTTAATAAGGCACTTATAAGCCCTTATTACAAGGCACTTAGAAGCCCTCGTTACAAGGCACTTAGAAAGCCCTTGTTATAAGGCACTTAGAAAGCCCTCGTTAGAAGGTACTTAGAAGCCCTTGTTGAAAGGTGTCATACTGACATTCGTTGCACTCAGTTTGCTATCAAACTCAAGAGCAAACTTAGAAATCTCCTCTCAAACCTACAAGTCACTATACATATTTTGGCTTATCACACCAACAACAAGAGAAATACTACTCAACAATTGCTACAACCCTCTATGATTCATTACACGTCATCGGTCCTTAGTTACTGGGCCAATATTACCACATAGCATAACGTACATGTATAGCGAAAGCGCCAAACAAGCGAAAGCGCCAAAATGATGCGGTGACCAAACCCCCCAACTAAATGTTAAATTCCTCAACAACAAAACATGCCCCATAAAAACGATGAAAGCCAATTAGTGCTAGCTATCCAGGCTATGCAAAGCGACCCAAAGTTACGCCTTCGAGTTGCTGCTAGGATCTATTCTGTGGACCACCGCAAGCTAGGTCGTCGTCTAGAAGGTGTACCTTCACGACGCGATATCCAAGCCAACTCACGGAAATTAACTAACCTAGAGGAGTCCGTCCTTGTTCAGTATATACTCGACCTAGCTGCCAAAGGGTTTCCTCCTCGGCTGTCTGTTGTTGAAGATATGGCAAGTCGACTACTTGCAACACGCGACGCGTCACGCGTTGGGTCGCGTTGGGCTTCAAACTTTGTTAAGCGGCGTGTAGAGCTCCAGACACGCTTTCAGCGCAAATACGACTACCAGAGGGCTAAGTGCGAAGATCCAGAAGTTATTAATGGCTGGTTTGAGCTTGTGCGTAACACAATTGCGAAATATGGTATCGATGAAGCAGATATCTACAACTTTGATGAGACTGGGTTTATGATGGGCGTTATCTCAACTGCTATGGTTGTAACAAGCTCAGACGGGCGGGCAAAAGCAAAGAAGGTACAGCCTGGTAATCGGGAATGGGTTACAGTAATCCAAGGCGTTAGTTCTCAAGGTTGGGCAGTACCACCATTTATCATTGTTGCAGGCAAAAACCACCTTACATCTTGGTATGAGAATAGTGGATTTTCAAGCGATTGGGTGATTTCTGTTACTGAAAATGGCTGGACTACAAACGAGAGAGGCATGGATTGGATTCAGCACTTTGAGAAGCATACAAAGGCCCGGAGTGTTGGTGGTTATCGCTTGTTAGTCCTTGATGGTCATGAGAGCCACCACTCAGATGAGTTTGAGGAGTACTGCAAGGAACACAACATTATTACGCTTTGTATGCCTGCTCACTCTTCTCATCTACTCCAGCCACTTGATGTTGGCTGTTTCGGCCCGTTAAAGCAGGCCTATGGTCGGCAAATTGAAGATATGATGCAGGCTCATATTTCTCATATTACAAAGGATGACTTCTTTCCTGCCTTCCACGCTGCATTTAACACTACAATGACGGAAAGTAACATTTGAGGCGGGTTCCGAGGGGCAGGGCTTCTTCCATTTGACCCTGAGAGAGTGATATCTACACTTGATCTTAAGTTAAGGACACCAACGCCTCCAAGCTCCCGCCCAGGTACTGCTCAACCTTGGGTTTCTCAGACACCAAACAACCCAATTGAAGCTATGTCACAGTCTACATTTATTAAAACTCGGATTTCACGCCATCAAAATAGCTCTCCAACCTCAATCTATGCAGCTGTTGACCAGTTTACAAAGGGTGCATCGCAAATAATGCATCAATTAGCACTGCTAAAGGGAGAGAACCAAAACCTACGACAGGCAAATGAAGTACTAAGCAAGCGCCGGAGAGCTAGGAAAACACGACTACAGCAAGGAGGATCACTTAGTCAACAAGGGGCGCAAGAGCTACAGGATGAGAGGGATGTTGTGCAGCAGGTAGAGCAGGAAATAAGGGCAAGCCGTGGTCGGAAGCCAAGGGAAGAAACCCGTGCCCGTCGCTGTGGCAAGTGTGGTGAGACTGGGCACAATGCGCGCACGTGTCAGATTGTAATAGACACCTCTGAGGAAGAGGACTCCGAGTAGTTTCAATTGATTTCTAATGTTGTGGTAGATTTATCGCAATGTTTGTCGTGAGGGTAGATAATTTTGGCGCTTTCGCTTGTTTGGCGCTTTCGCTATACATGTACGTTATCTCTACAACCCTCTATTTTATTACATGACATCACTCCTTAGTTACTGGGCTAATACTACACATGCCATATCTCTATCAACTAGAGGCCTGGGAACATGAACGATAGCTCCAAAAGCTTCTACAACCGTCTATGATTCATTACACGTCATCGCTCCTTAGTTACCCACAAGATTGGTTAAGTTCTGACATAATCTGTCTATAGGGGTACTCTGACCTTGGACCTCCTTTCACTTCCTATATTCTAGGAACCTAGGAGATGGTTCTATGGGATTCTCTTACGTCGACTACAGTTACCAAGCCTGGTTAGTCATGGAAAGTCTTGGAAAATGAGAGAACTACACTCCTTTAGCATAAATAGCATGCCCTTTCCTTAAGGAAGGGCAAGCAGACAGTACAGTAAATTGACTATCACATACTTCTACATCTTTTCCAAGCTTCCAAGCATTGATCTTGTTATTCCTTGTTTCTGAAAAATCAGTGAGGTGCTAACCTCTGACTTATCCCTGAGTTCTCAGACTCAACATTTGTTACAACTTGTCTAAACCATCCACTACATCATACACCTGATGGCTGCGTTGTGGAATGTCTAAGCTCTTTGGCTCTGTTTCCTAAGACAGTGTGTTGTCTTAGTAAAACCATCCCTTCCCCTGGGTGGCTAGATTCTCACATCTGGTGCACCCACCATTACATAAGGCACTTAGAAAGCCCTTGTTATAAGGTACTTAGAAGCCCTCCTTGTTAAGGCTAAAGTCTAGTGCTAGGCGTTAGCACATAAGGAGGACAAGGGCAAGGGGGTGGTGCTCCTGCTGTTACTACTGTTATGATTATAGCTCACAGCTTGTTACGGTTATTACGGGTGCAGCCTTAGCCACCAAGGCTACAACCGCTAAGCGGACAACTGTATATTATGAAGAATAGCCTCACCTTCCTTCCTTCTTCTTCTTCTTCTCTCTTTAGATTCAATCTAGCTTACTTTACTCGGACTGCCATGACCTCCGTTAGCGTGCGTCACGGGGGACTGACCCTGTCGGGGGACCGACCCCAGACCGGACCATGGGGCGGTCCGGTCCCAAATCTTCAACCCAGACCGTGGTCCGGTCTGAAGCCAATAACCCACGGTCCCCCACCGGTCTGCCAAGAAACCGGTCACGGGACCACTCGAATTTTATCACAGGACTAGCCCTACTAAAACAGTTTTTACAGCACTACTTGAACATTTTTCACGTGGTTTAGATAGATTGGCAATTACTATAATTATACTATATGTCTGTATTACGCCACGACTCTAGAATTTCTTGACCAGACCGTGACTTGTTACGGACTTGACTTAATTCGGTTGTCTCGATTGTCCCCTTCTGGTGTATGTTGAGCCCATTATCTTTCCGTGGCCTCTTTGCAATAGAAGGCTTTGTAAGTGAAGGTAGTGAATAACCACCCTCATTTTGGAAGGAAATTGTAACGGTCTTGGTTCCGTGTTGTCCAGATGTGTGTATTTGGCTGGTTAGGGCTTCGGTCAGGAATGTACTATATTGCCATCTTCTCCTGGATATTATCAACTAGAGCATTATATTCAAACGCTATTTCCTCCTCACTCATATTAGTAGAATTAATAATGTAATTGAATAGTGTTCAAACAGCTGTTCCCGCTCGATTTTCTGCCAATAATAGACAAGCATAATACCCTGTATGGTATCAGGGGCCATTTGGTTCTGCCTATAATTACAAACATCACAGGTAGTGCTAAAGACTCGCTCAACAAGAGCTTCTGAAGCAGGAATACAAAGTATATCCCGGGCCATAGCTGCAAGTCCTGGAAATAGCCGTTCATTGTTTTTCCACCACACTAACAGAGGTTCGTAGGAGGCGGCTTCTAATAGTTAGCGTTAATTACTATAATGATTACTATAAACTTACCAAGACTAAGGTACCGCTTTATCTCTCCTCCTTGGTCATCAGTTTGACTTGAAGAGTTATAGCTTCACTTCCGATTTAACAATCATAGCCATTGGGTCCTTATCAAGTTCC